TAAGGCTTAACTTTAAGCAGCGATGTATCTAGGCGGATTTTGATACCAGTATACCAGTATGGGCCCCCAAATTTCTGCTTAAAGTCAATTTAAATTTATATTAATAATTTTATATTAGTACCAAGTTTGTCATAAAAAATTGAAATAAAACACTTCTTTATTACTAATTGTCTTGCTGTTTTGTGATAAAATTTGTTATAATTATAATCATAAAGTTTGTTATGATAATTATAAAATTGTTAATAATGTTGTTTTAAAAAAATCAAAATTTGAAAAACGACTTTTAAAACAGATTATAAATGTATTTTAAGTCAATCAAAATGCTAAATTCGAATTCACATGGATGAAATATGGAATATGTTACAATTTGATTAAAATGTAAAATGCACGTTTTGATTAGATTAAAATATGAAACGCTTAGCATTTTAAATTTCTGAATAAAAACATCAATTTTTTAAAAATACTCTTAATATGAGTTTCTCTCCTCCGCTTACGTTTTTATAACTTTATTTACAATTCAATTAAACTATATGAGCTTTAACCTTTTTCATTTCAAATAACAGCAAAATTGCATAAAAATACTTTAATAAAATAAAGTTTTTTAAAACATAATAACATAATAATCACAACAAAAAAATTGATTTGAAAAGTAAGAGAAGAACAACAACAAAAAAGTTATTAACTTTTGAATGAATTAAAATGAATTGAATGAAATAACCTTGTTATGCAATAAATATGCTATGTAATAAATCTTTTTAGTCATTTATATTTTTATCTTTTTAGTCTATATAAAAGAAACATACAATTATTGTTTATTAAATGTTTTAATTATTGCTTGCTTATGAAATGTTATAGTTAACGCTTCTCTCGTGAAGGGTACTCACGAAAGAAAAGTTTACCTGGAAAAAAATGTTGAAGATTTGGTGAGGAAGCTAAATCAAAAAAGTGATGGAGATGCTGTAATGATGTGGCATTTTATTAGATGTTTTGCAAAAATGCAAAAGGCTCATGAACAAAATATTGAAAAAACAGTTTGAGAACAAATTATTGAAGCAAGTTCCTTGAAAACCCATAAGTTCTGTTGATACAGACTAAGAACTAATAGTGCTAGAAAAAATTTCAAATTGTAAACTAGAATAACTTTGGCATATAAAATTTGCCAAATGGTCACACACAAGCAGTGAACGCCTGAGAGAAGGAATGAAGTAAATTAGAAATAAAGGAGAATTATTTTTCGAACAAAGCCTATTTTGACAGTTGTATCTCATTAATAACTACCTAGAAACAACATTTAAAACTGAAATTAAGATGTTAATGATCACTTTCCGATATGCATAAAATTCAAATTTACATAGGGAGTATTTATTGATTTATCAACAGCATTCGAGACAAAATAAAGCAAAGTTTTTTGAGACAAAATAAAGCATTACATTATAACTAGTACGACCAATAACTTTAAAAATTTCACAGAACAATGAACAGCTATATGCACATAATATACAATCCGAAATATTAAATGTCTTACGCGGAATTTCTAATAAGCTCTAACTTTAACTCGCACTTATACTTAACTTATGTTAAAGCAGTACAAAATATATTAGGATTAATATACATTTTTTGTTATATTACCATATTAGCTGCAGAGCTCAAAAAACATCGACACCATGCAGAGTAAAAACATCAACACCTTGCCCTATGTACGAATGTAAATTATATACAGAGCAAAAGAAGACAATAGTAATCTTATTGCTAAACCCCATTGTTTACGTCAAATTTTTACATTGCAAACAGTTATTTTATAGGATATCATTATTCTATAATATAGTTCTTAATCTGTATCAAGTGAGAGAAGTTTAGCGTTAACTATAACTAACTACTATTGGGAGAAGCAATAAGGAAATAAATTTGATTTTATTCTTTATATTAGTAAGCAAATAAAGCATGTAAATAAAAATTAGTCGCAAATTGATGTTGGTGTTAAAGCCATCATTTATTTTGAAAAACGTAAAATACTAGGGCAAGGTATATTATATACAAATCTTTTAAATTTGTGTTCTAAAAAAAAACCTTTTTTAGAATTTAATTGGAAGTTCACGCCTCCTTTGTAAACGATATTGCAAAACTTGCTCGGACGTGGAGTTTGATTTTTAGACCAATATGCCCAAAAAGTTTCACTGTTAAGATAATATTAACTGTATTTTTTTTCTAAGATTGAACAAGAGTTTAATTATAAAAACATTTTAACCCATAAAAATAACATAAAATTCAGCCAATTCTCAATATTTGAAAAAATTGTATGCAGCACTTCCAATTGACAAAAACAATTGAAATTTTGTATATAACCTAATTAAATGTGGTAGAACAGGATAAGCAACTGCTGATTTTAATTTTTTAAAGTTTTTAAATTTCAACCCTATTTTGTGTCACCCTAATCATAGATGAGTTTTTTCTGGGAATTCCCGGAATTCCGGAAATTCACTTTTAATTTTTCAGAAATTTCCGGATGTTTTTTGTTATTAATTTGAAAAGAATTTTTATATAATTATACATAAAATTTTAAATACGACAACTTTTGCATTTAAACAAATGTTTTCTATAATTAAAATTTTTACGAGATCAATTATAGATTATTTATCTAATTATTCATTTATATAGATTTAAATTTAATTATTTATAATTATTATTAATATATCAATATATAAAAATTTAAAAGCCTATTTATTGTTTATATTAAATTGTATTAGAGATTTTATGGGTGGTTGACTCACATATAAATGTGCATATAAGAATGAATAAATGCACATATAAGAATGAATAAATGTGCATATAAGAATGAATAAATGCGCATATAAGAATGAATAAACATGCATATAAAAATCGATAGATGTGCATTTAAAAATGAATAACCCTGTACAACGATCAATTTTTAATTAAAAAATTTTACGGGATTTTCATAGAAAAAAAATTTCGGGATTTTCAAAAAGTCAAATACTCATCTATGCCTAATAGACAGACCCTAATTTAGGTCGGCAAATTATTGCCAACCTCATTTTTACTAATTCCAAGGGTTGTATATAACCCTTTTTTTTAGAGTGCCTCTAAAAACAACTTTTTTTGAAATTGTTTGCTGCCACCCTCTAAATGTGTTCTATGTTATAAATTGACACTAAATTAAAAAAAATTTTGAATAAAAAAAAATTTACGGTTGCTCAAGACCCTTAAATGTCAAACGGGTCCCTAATATTTTGAAAAAAAAAGTTTTTCAAAAGTATATCATGTTGGGTCTCAAAAGAAATGAAATTTTATAAAATTAAAATTATTGTTAAAAAACTATCATTTTTTAACAATAAATAAAAAATACATACTTTCAAAGTTTTTTTTTAAATAAATTTTTTTAATTTGTGTTTCCATAAGTTGTTTTATTATTTTAAAATTTTTTATGAAATTTCACTTCTTTTGAGACCCAACAAGCGTGTAAAATAAGAAATCAAAGGCAAGTGGTCAATTTGAACGGCTAAAAAATTGAATTCATGGTCAATTGTTTTGTTTGAACAGTCAAAATTTTCAATTTTTTTCTTAGTTTAAGTTTTTAAACTAGTATTAGTTCTTGATGGCTGAACTTTAAAAATACAAAAATAACTTAATGTTTGAAAATTAATGAATTTGTATTCCTTTTAAAATAGTAATTTTAAATAAAATCAATGCATTTTTAGAATGGAAACTTAGAAATAACAAGCGTTTTAACTACCTGCTATTGTTAATAGTTTTAAAAAATTCTTGCAGACTTAGGCTTTCATTTAATTAAAAAAAGAAAACAGGTAACATCTAAAAAATTTATTACTAAATTTTTTTTTATAAAATATATTTTAAAATTTTTCAACAAATTTTGGAAAAGCGTTTTTAAAATTAATAGACACATTTCCCTCCCTCTAATAAATTGCACATAATTTTTAACAGAAACATTAAAGTAAGCTATAATTGTACAAACAATATTGAAAGAATCATAAAAGGCAACAATTTTGCATAGGTTAATAAAAATGAATTTCTTAAGAAAAAAAATATTGAAAATTGTAAGTACAAGCAAAAAATTGACTGCCCTATAAATGGCAAATACTTATCAAAAAATATTATTTTCAAATGCATTTTTTCCTCACAAAATAACCTTGATAAACAATATATTGGCTTCACCGAGGGCGAATGGAAAAATCATTATGCCAACCACAAACAATCTTTTAAACATAAAAAATACTCAAGAGACTATGCTGTTAAAATATATGTGGCAACTAAAAGAAAAATATATTAATTTTAAATTAAACTGGTCTATCCTAAAAATTGTGCTTGCCTTTAACAACATTTCTAAAAAGTATATACTATGTTTACAAGAAAATTTTGAAATTATTACTTATTTCGATCAAGAAAATTTCACCATTAATTAAACCAAAAAATCTGAATTAATTTCTAAATGCAGACATGTTTAAAAAAGTTATAAAATCAAATGACCAGCTTAAAAAAAGCTTAAAAAGAAGTAAACAAGTTGTTGTTTTTTGCATATTTTATAACACTAAGTTATAAATTTTTGTACACACTTTTTTCATCTCCCTAAAAAATTTGAGACAAAGGGGAAAGGGACGCAGGAAATTTCCTGCGCCCTTTTTCCCTCTGTCTCAAGTTTTTTTATAGGAAGATGAAAAAAGCGTGACAGAGGGATACTACGGTCCAAATTATTTTCCTAGAATAGACCCTGATATGAGGGTAATAGTGAAATGACTTTGTATGAGGGTAATTGTGAAAGTAGTAGGGAAGGGGGGAAATACTTTTGCTAATAAAGGATGAAATTAATACTTGTGATAAAGAGAAGTTAATGTTACATAATCTATTCAAGGAGAAGAATATGTAGTAACCAAAAATATTTTTTACTAAACTTTATTTTATGTTGTTGATAATAACAAGAATTTGAAAACCCTTGAAGCATTAGTAGTATTTAAAACTTGTTTTTTTAGTTACCTAAACCAGCCTGGTCCATTCATCCTCCCAGCAGTAACCCATTTGGAGTTCCAGAAACCAATGCTCTGACAGTTAATCAATCTAATAACACGCTTATTTTAGGTTGTGGTGATAACAATGTTTATGTGTATGACATAGAAACAAGAAACCTTTTGAAAACAATCCAAGGGCATGCAGACTTTATTCACGCCGTTGGTTATCTCGGAAGAAGCCATCAAATTATAAGGTTTTAATTGCATCTTTTTGTCAAAAAGTTAGTAATTTTTTTTTTATTTCAAAGGCTTTGTTATCATTTTTTGTCATTTCTGCTATAGTGGTGGTGAAGATGGATTTATAAAGTTTTGGGATGAAAGGTCTTATGAGTTTCTGGAACAAATTGAGCCAAGTAAGCTTGAGACAGCAAGTAGAGAATCAATAGGACATTGGGTTTCTTGTTTTGATGTGGACCAAACTGAAGAGTGGATGGTAAATTTTGTTAAAATGTTTAGCATTCATTGCAGATATTACATAATACTGTCAGGGACTATTCTAGACTGTTTTCGATATATTTGGGTCCAATTTATTATTTTTTTACGTTTTTTACAGCCAAAAAAAACACCAAATTTTCCGCTAAATTTCTCTGGAGCTGGGGGGGGGGGGCTTTTGCCCAAATTTTTTTTCTAGAATAGCCCCTGACTTTATATATAATTATATTAATCTGCTAAATTAATGATAATATGCTATTTTAGTTATAAATTGTCTTTAATCCTCATTATTTAGTTTATAGTATATAAAATTAAATTCAAAAATTATGTAACAAAATTGTTTTTTAAAAGAGTACTGTTATTTAACTACTATCAACTTTATTTAGACTTCCGTCTTTTACATATGTGATGCTGTCTCCAATTTTTCTACTTTATTAGACTGCCTAATTTATGGATTAAGTATGAATGTTAAAAAGTAATGATGTTAAAAGATTTGTTATAGTTTTACTGGTGCTGCACCAACTAATATTTGTGTAGTTAAGATAGGGATGAATAACTTAGAAATATATGTAATTGGTTTAATAAAGTTTTGGCTTTACATGGTACAAGACCTTATATAAATAAAATTTTATGTTACCCTTTGATTAAGTTCCTCAGTCTCCCCTATAATATAGGGAAGACTGAGACTTGATATAGGAGACTAGGTACAAAATAAAAGTGAAAATATTGAAAGCACCACATTATTTTTGATTAGCAAAACTAATAGTTATGACTCCAATAATAAATTTAGCAGCAGTAGTATCTGTAAGATTCTGCTTGATAAGCTGACAGATTATTAAGGGGAAGGTGATTTATTGCTTAAGAACAAAAAAAATTTTAAGTTTTGATTTTTTTCTAATAACTCTTTTCACTTTTTAGTTGTTTAAATGTTGTCATTTTTTGTTGATAATAATGTTGATGTTAATTATTGTAAAAAAAAAGATAGAAAAGATCTTTAGTTTATTTTTTGATTTTCTTTAATAACTTTTTATTTTAGTATTCATTTTAGTAACTAATTCATTTTAGTATTTATTTTTGTAACTTTAGTATTCAAATCTCAAGTCTTTTCTTATCATAACCTATTGAAACATCAGTTAGAAATAATAATTCTTAATTTATTTTATTTTTAAAGTATAAGTTTAGTGCCCTAAAAACAAATCCTTTTAAGATAACTTGTAATTTTAGGATCATGACATGAATAAGGCTTGTGAGACTTATATTTTTTACAACTTTGCAATATAATCTAAAACAATATAAAATTGTTTTGTTGTCGATAACATTAAAGTCAAGAAAATTTAACTTTTTTTTTTTATACTTTCATGTTTTTCCATCTACCCCTTGATTACCTGTCAAATCTGACCAATAATACTACTTCCAAAACTTATGTTGTTTGTTTAGTAAATCTGATGACTTTTTAGCATCTTTTTACACTTATAGCAGGAACGGAATTCATTAAAGTTATAAATGACTTTTACTTATAATAGGTTATTTATTAACATTTTTTTATGATGCTGCATAGTGTGTGATGAAAGGTTCTGCAAAGTATGACTATTGTTTTCATGCCTGTTAGAGAATGGCATGTGTGGCTCATATATTTAATGACTCTAGAAATAGTCTTGACCTTTTTAACCAATCAGTAAATCAAATCAATGTACTTATTATTATCAAGGCCTTTAACTTTCTGACAATCAATAATGTTTTAACTTTCTGATAATCAATAATGCTTTAACTTTCTGACAATAATGTTTCAACTTTCTGACAATCAATGTTTTAACTTTCTTATAATCAATAGTCTTTTAACCTTCTGGCAATGTTTTTGATCTTCTTGTTTTACAGCTAATTTGTTAAATGTATTAGCAGAAAGATTGTGTGTTAGCAGAAAGATTCAATTGTGTGTTAGGCAGATGTGATAATGCAAGAGCTTTACATGATCATCACTTTAAAATACAAAGGATTTTTTTGATGAAATTTGTACTCTATCAATAAACTTTGATATAAATTAAGAATACAGAAAAACATCTTTAATTGAAACTAGTATAAATTTAAGAATACAGAAAAATATCCTCAATTGAAACCAATATGAATTTATAAAAAAGTATAGGCCAAGTAAAAAGACAGCATTTTTTGCAAATTAAATCTAAACTTATTAATTGAATACAAATTTTATCAAAAAATGTTTTGATATTTGGGAAGTGGTGACGATGTAAAATTCACCACTCCCTCAAACAGCAATTAAACATTCAATCAATACTATTTATTGAAATTTAATTTTTAACTATTTGTTAAGATGCTTGTTTGTTCAAAATATTTGCCTCAGTTCATCTGTTATAAGGTTATTGTTAAGAATTGAAGTTTTTTATTTTGCATCTTTAAAACTAGCTTTATTCATTTCTTGTTTAATTATTAATTAATTCTAGTTGATTTGAAAACAATAAAACTATTATTTGAGGTAAAATCAATTAATATAATTTTAATAGTTACACTGCTAAAGTTAAACTGAGAAAACTTTATACTCAGTATGACATAGTGTATAAAGATTTTTTTTTTTGGTATACAACCTAATAATTTACTTAAAAAACACTTTACATCGTTACTTTTTTGTCAATTTTTTTTAGATTAATTTTTCAAACCGCCTCTTAGTTTGTTCTAGTATTTGTTGCATAATATGAAAAATAAAATATCGGTCTTGATTTGGTTAATCAAGTTGTAAATCATGTTATCATAGATGAGTTTTTTCCTGGAATTCCCGGAATTCTGGAAATTCACATAAAACTCTTTCAATTTTCCAGAAATTTTTGGATGTTTTTTGCTATTAATTTGAAAAAAAAATTTATATTTTTACACAAAACTTTATATACGACAACTTTAGCATTTAAACAAATATGTTTTCTATAATTAAAATTTTCACAAGATAAATTTTCGTAACAATTTTTTTGCTTTTTTTTTTTTTTTGCTTTTTAATTCATTCGAATTAACTTTTTCGATTATTAGAAGCTCTTTTTTGTAAAAATTTAAATAATATAAATTCCTTTTTAAAAGTTTACGAAAGTTTTTTCTGTTAATACGATCAATTTTTAATAAAATATTTTTCCGGGATTTTCATAGAAAAAAAATTCTGGATTTTCATAAAGTCAAATACTCATCTTTGTGTTATAGTTCTTTAAAATCATTAAAATTCTTTATAACTCGGTAAACAAATATAACCCATGGTTCTAATGATCAATTAAACTTGGCTCATCGAGCTGCGAATCATAAAATTAAATAAAAAAAATTAAAGCTCATAGTTTAAGTAAATGGTTTATTATTAATTCGTTACTATAGAAACAACAGTCTTTATAATAATCTTATTTAATTTCAATATACAGGTGTAGCTATATATGTTTGAAATTTTTCAGTTATTAACTAAAAATTCCATGTTTTGTTTTAAAGTGTTATTTGCAATCTTTTTTAGGTTTGCGGAGGAGCTGCTCATTCGTCAGTATGGCATCTTCGATCAAAAACAGCTACCGCTGTTCTGCCTACGCCTAATTCTTGTACACAAGTTGCTAAGTTTGAAGACGACTATATTCTTATTGCAGGGAGTGAACCTATTGTTTCCAAATGGTCGATGAATGGTTCATTACGTTCAACCTTTCCTTGCACACCTGATTCAGTATACTCTCTTGAAATAAATCGTAAGCTTAACCGAATACTTTCTATAGCCGGAAGTTCATACAACATTGACATTAGCACTAATTTTGAATATAAATCGTTTTCGCTTACATTTAAAGATTGATGTGCAATTCATATTCACAATTTGTAATCATAAGTATTTTACTTCATTAGTACATAAGCTGTTTAATAGTAAATTGATGCACAGTGTTTAGCATGTGCATATGTTTTAACATAACCCATTGCTTATAGAGAATGTGTGCGAAGTTCAAAGAAAAAATCCAGATTGGAGAATTTTAACTTAATAATTAAAATCACATAATGGTGGATTTAACGGAGTTTAACAGATTTTAACGGAGAAAAGAACATTTTTTATAAAATGTGAAGTATGTAATCTGAGAAATATTTTTTTTTTACATATTACTTGTTATTTGCAAAGAATAAGGAGATGAAATCCGTAGTTTAGAGATTGGGTGTGTGCAAGTTTAGAGATTGGGTGGGTGCAAGCGGAAACAGTGCCCTCTTTTGCAAGCTAAATTAAACGATTGTTGCGCAACTTTTTTCTTTTTTTACGCATACGTGATAAAAAATAAACTAGCGACATTTTATGTTATTGTTCCTCCTTTTTTTTAGGTAATTTTAAAATGCATATAACATGTATGCCAGTGTACGTATGTATATATACATATATGTGTGTGTGTATATATAAATATATATATATATATATATATATATATATATATATATATATATATATATATATATATATATATATATATATATATATATATATACATGTGTGTGAATAAATTAAACTTAAAATTTAGAAAAAACCACTTTTTATGAAACTGAAACAACCACGAAGTAAAAAATTAAAATGTACTTTAATAAATAGTCAAAAAGTAGTAAAATATAGCACTAAAATAATAAAAAGAATGTCCAGTTATCAAAAAATAAAACAAAAAGCAACTATTATAAGTGCTCGTAAAATTTGAGGTATTTGCTCGCCGTTTTATGAGTTAAAGCTTTTTTATTCTCGCCTTTTTCTCTTAGGGATCGTCCATAAATTTTAAAAAAAAACAGAAGTAGGAGATCTTAAGCTCTTTTACGCGGCGATTTTCATTATACTTAATCTGTTGTTTTAATTTTTTATTTATTTAAAGGCTCTGTGAGGCAAAACTTAAGACCTTTTTTGTTTTGCTTTTTAGTGAAATTTAGCGTTGCGTAATTTATGAACGATCCCTTCAATGAGCAACTGCTGAGAATAATTGCTTTAAGCGGAAAAAAAAACAATTGCTCAAAATTATTATTCACGTAATTTGAGCAATTAATTCAAAAACTCGGAGTAAAAGCAATTGTTTATTTTTATTCACTCGACCTATTTTCTAAAAACATTTAGTACGTGGCATTTTCTAAAAACAACTTGCATGTGGTACTTTATAAAAGCATTTAATATGTGGTACCTTTTCAAAAAAATGTTAGAATTGACACTTAAACTTTAAAAGAATATTTCAGACTTTGAATTTAAAAATATATTTTTTGCAAATCATTTAAAGCCTGTATTATCATATTATTTTTTTGAATTTTTTAAATTTCTATACATAATTGGTGGTAGGACTAGAAAAAACCTAATTCTTTTAAAAACTATTGTTATTTCCCAAGAACTTCTAAAAAAGTTTGAATTTATGTTAAAAATCATTTGACAATTTTTTTTTATTAATTTGCCTCGCCTACCCATACTTATATAAAAAAATAAACCAAAAAATAAGGAAATTTTAAAACACAATATCACAAAATATTATCAACAAATCACAATGAATTTTTGTAGGTTTGTTCTTCAACAATAGATAATTCATTTGAACTAAAATGACATTGAATCTTAATAGAATAAAAAATATACATAATTTATTATGTATGCGTTAAAAAAAAATACCAAATTGAGAATAAAAAACAAATAATAAGCAATAAATACATATAATTATTATAAGATTTTAGTTCAAATGAACTTTATATGTATACTGAAGATACTGTGAAAATTTCAAGTGAATTGAATTTTTCTAACTTAAGATATTTGGTTTTGAAGTTACAAAATCTTGCAAAAAATCAAAGTTCAATAAAACGCAAAATAAAGTTGTAATATGTTTAAAAATATATATACAATATGTTTAAAACCCTCCTGATACATAAAATGATGTTTTATTTTGACTTTGTTTATCAGAGTATCTTTTTTTTATTGCTCTGAGACTTTTTCTTCTATTTTTTACTTTTTCACTTGACTTGATCTCCATGCTCTTTACACGTGAAACATTTTGTTCATAAGATTTAGAATTTGTAACAACGACTGATAGTCCAAATGAAAGTAAAACATTTTTAACACCTTCAGTACCATCATTGTAGTGTAAATTGCTGAATTAATACTCATTTCAAAAGTTTGTTTACAAACAAATATGTTTTTAGGGCAACGAGACCAAACCAATGCATTAAGACTTTCATTTGCATTTTGGGTTTGCCCATGTACACATTTTAACAATAATTCTTCATTTGATAGATCTTTAAACACTGGTTTCAAAAGGTTACTAATCCATAATGGTAAATTAATATGTTCTTTATAATTTGAAGTATTATGTAATTTGTCATATTGATATTGACACCAACTAGTTTCAGTTCTTGGGCAAAAGCAGTGGCGAAACTCTTGATTTGAATATCCAGTACAGTGGAACAAAATAGCCCATATTGCCTTTTTCATGGCATAAATGTTATTTGTATTACTTCTTATAGCTAAACCATAAAAATTTTGCATACTATTAATCACATTTTCTGTGAGTTTATTTTTTCCACCTAGTGGAGTTGGCTTTCCTTTGTAATTTTTGATTAAATTTCGTAACCGTGTACCCATTCTTTTTTGTACATGTGCAACACACTCTAACTTTTCAGGAATTATTTTATAGTCTTTATAGGGATCAGACTTTATTACTTCTTTAAAAGATGAGCTATCTCCATCTCCAAGATAATGAGTATAAATAATATTGTTATTTTTAATTGAACGTGCAAATATTTTTACAGCACCAGCTGCTTCCATTGACCCAGAAGATTGTTTATGATTTATATGACAGGCATGTTGAGCTTTCCAAGCATTGTATCGTGGTGAAGCTTTTTTATTTTTCCATATTCTACAGCCCATGCAAAATTTTGACATTGCTTCATAATCAACGCACTTATCACCCACAATTGCACTTACAAATCCATTAAGGGAGGTATGGCCGCGTCGTTGCCATGCACCATCAATCTTAACATGCTTCATTATTGGTTTATTATCATCAGTATAGTTATCTTTCATTTCATTTGTGGCACGTTTCATACTTTCTTTAGCAGTTTTATCATAAGCTTTTGATATTTAGTTTTCTAAATGGAGTAGCTGTCAAACAGTGTAAATTCATACAGCGACTAAAGTTTTTCATAGATTGATACCCTTTACCTATTTCTCTAAATCCAATTATCATTCTTGTGTTTGCTTCAAATGTTTTCCTACCCTGGGCTGTATTTCCATTAAATTTACTAATCTGCTTAGAAGAATACAAAACCTTTTTCCATTCACATAAACTACACTTGATTTCAAGGTGATGGGCAAAACCCATGAGCTTAGAAAGATTATCAACAATGGTAACAAGGCTGTAACAATCTGGACATCTAACATCTTCAACGATATCACTTAAAATTGAAAAATTGATAAGTATGAAATAATCTTTATTCACTTTGTCATTTACAACTTGATTTCTATTTATCAGTGGCAGTAATTTTCTTGCACTTGCACAACTTGAAGCTGGAACAATATTCAGATTGCTTTTCTGTTGTCTTTCTGCTCCAATTGTATAACAATTTCCATGAAAAAATCTTTTCTTTTTTCGTCCAAAGTTTTGCTTATTAGATACTTTAATGTTATTTCTTGAAGTACTCATTATTTACAATACTTGAGGTGAAATCTGAAAAGGTTTATAACATCAAAGTTAAACAGCATGCACTAAAGTTGCTTCAAAAAACTGCCAAAATTTACAATGTTCCTTAAGTTTAAGACCTTTAACAATTGCACGTTTATCAGTGTATGATATAAATCTTGTTGTTCTTTATGGAAAGGTATCAAGGTAAAAAAACTGTTTACCGTTGCTAAGGGCGTAACTACGGACTAGTCGTTGTATGTAGTTACATAAAAGCTTTAAAAACTAAATAAGAAATAATTTTTTTTAAAAAATTTTTTCAATACATGAAAGCTAAGTAATTTTCCTTCGAAAATAAAAAATAAAAAAAAAAACGATTTTTTAAAAATTTTTACATATTTTTTCTAGCTCTACCACCTTAAGCGAAAGAGAGTTCATGATCTTGCTTTTCATATTGCTGAATGCAGAAATAAAAAACCAAATTTTAATGTTAAATTAACACGTTTAAAAAAGTAAAGAAAAAAAATTCTTCATCGAAATATACAAAATACACAAGTGTCTCTCCTGCTTGGAAATATTTATATTTTAATATCAGTGTTATGCAAAACACTATCTTGAAGGTAGTATTGTTATCTTGAAGATAAAAGATACTATTCGTTATCTTATCTTGTATCTTAAGATTTTAACTTTTTGAAAAGTATCTTATAATATCTTTCTTTCTATAAGATACTTTTTTAAAGTACCTTGACAGTGTAAGATTTTTTTAAAGATACTTTATTTATTAGTTGCAGTTCTACTTATCAATTTTAAAATAAACGTCTCTAAATGTAAGTGAGACATTCGCAGTAAACCGCGCATGTTTACTGCGTAGACAAAATATAAATTAACACTTTTTAATTTTTACTGATATTCTGATTTCTGATATATAAAAATTTAAAAATAAGATGTTAGTAACAACAAATGATACAGATATATCATCATTAACTGCAAGAAAAAAATGATGAATGCTTTATGCTAAATTATAGTAATTCAAAACTCGGTCACGCACAGATATCCCACCTGTGTTTCTTGACAGAAAATTTGTCAGGGTTATATCTTTAGGAAACGATGGAAAAAACAACTAGCATAACCTGTCCAGATGGCAAGAAATCCTTATGGTAAAAATAGCCATAAAGGTAAATTATAAATTGTACAACTATTACTGTTACTATCATTTTTCAGTCTCCGTCGTGTTTGCTATAATAGCAATATAAAATACTAAAATTACTTAATTGATATATTTTTTGAACAGAATTGATTTTCAAGATATATATCAATTAAGTAACTAAATATTTAAATTATAATAATTGAAATTCACAAATAAAATATTTAATATTAAAGAACAAATAAAAAATTATTACTATAATGGTTATCTGAAAAACACGCCTTATAGAATATAATGATTAATCAAAATTTTAAAGTGATAATTCATTACAACAAT